CCCATTTCTATTTCTATTCCTTCCTTCCCTCTTTCCTTCCCTTCCCTTCCTTCCTCTTTTATTTATACCCATTTCTATTCCTTCCTTCTCTTTCCTTCCCTTCCCTTCCTTCCTCTTTTATTTATACCCATTTCTATTTCTATTCTTTCCTTCTCTCCTTCCTTCCCTTCCATCTTTTATTTATACCCATTTCTATTTCTATTCCTTCCCTCCCTCCTTCCCCTTCTCTCTCCTCCCTCCCTCCTTCCCTTCCATCCGTTCATCTATCTATCCATCTATCTGTATTGTTGGGGGCCATAGTCTGACTCTGTAAACGGCTTAGAGTGGGCTGTAAAAGCATTGCGAAGTGGTATATAAATCGAAGTGCTATTGCTTCCTTTCTTTCCTTTTCTCCCTTCTTTCTCTTTCTCTCTCTCTGTCCCTGATAAATCTATCGTTTTTACTCTTGTTATGAAAACCAAAAGCAAAAACAAATACAAATAAAGAAAACGGGGGTAAAAAGGGGAGAGAAACCGAAGGGCGAAGCTAAAACCGGGGGAAAAAAAAAGGAAAGAGAACCAGCCGCCGGTCTCCTTCCCCGATGCGTTAAGTTCAGTTCTACGACCCCCTTCCCTGCAGTTACGACCACCCCTTCCCCACTTTTCGATCCGGAATCCATTCTGCTTCACCTCCAAAAGCACGAATGGCAAATTCGGGACCCCCTCCCGGTCCACCCCGCTTTTCAGGCCACGATAAAACGCTGCCCCTTACCTGTCCCGATGCTGACCACCACCCCCAGCCCGTCCTGCCCCTTCCTCATGATGATGGCGGCCAGGATCTTGCGCCCCAGCAGGCTGTGCTGGATGCGGGCGGTCAGGGCGTTGAACCGCTGGTGGCTCAGCATGGCGATCTGGTCGTGGAGGGTGCTCCCGCTGACCGGCAGCTGCAACGGGACGGAGGAAGGGTCAGCAACGGCCCTTCCGAGCTCTGTGTGTGTCTGTGTGTGTGTGTGTGTGTGTGACATCCCTGGCCTTGGGGGTGGGTGGGGGGGCAGGGGAGAATGCAGACCAGAAGCAAAGGGGGGCGAGACGTGTAAAAACAAGGGGGAGCCTCAATTTGGGGAGTCCTCAACTCACGACAGTTCGTTTAGTGACTGTTCCAAGTTGAATCGTGTGGGCTGTGAAGTTCCCATAATTGTGGGTGTTTTTTTTTAATTTTTGGTTTTATTTATAGATTGGCTTCCCTCTTGGAACAAAAGGCTGCGGATTTCATGTTTCCTCTTCTGTTTGTTTTTTTTTTTTTGCCCTGCTTGTAACAACAATAACAACCCTGTGAGCGAAGCTGGGCAGAGAAAGGGGAGGGAACTTAAGAGGACATCTGAACCAGCCCTCCGGCGGGATTCTTAAAGGGGGTTCGAATCCAGCAGCCTATTTTCTGACAAGGGAGAGAGCAATCAACCGACGGACGTTTGTGGTGGGAGCTTTCACCCCTGGAGGCTTTCGAGAAGAGACCGTGGACTGGCCTCGGTCAGAAATGGTGTAGGGTCTCCTGTTTGGGTGGGGCGGGGGTTGGATTAGACGACCTCCAAAATCCTTTCCGACTCGATTATTCTATACTCAATGGGACAGAAGTCGCCTTTCGGAGAAGGAGCGGGGGGAATGGGATCGGCCCGGGAGCCGCCCAAGGAGGCAAGAGAAGCCCTGACCTCTGTGGTGCCCAGCCCTTCGGCGGCGTGCTCGGCCTTCTCGTTCTCCCCGATGAGAACCCGCAGCGCTGCGTCGGCCGCTTCCTGCTTCCCCTGCTTTTTGCTGTGCGCCGTGACGGACGGGAACCAGCGGCCGCCCACTTTCGCCTGGAAGACGAACCTGCAAAGGGGGGGGGGCGGAGGGGAGGAGAGAACAGAATCAAGATGGGGAGTCTAGCTCGGATCTCCAGTGGGCTGACACGCTACCCCGGCTCCAGGGGAAAAAAAATGACAACTAGTCCTCGACGTACGACCATTTGAAGTTACAGCGCCACTGGGGAAGGGGGGAGGCGGAAAAAAGGGTGACTTGGGACCGCTTAGATTCGGAAGCCATATTGAGATGCGATGCTGCCGCAATTGAGCCTGGGAAAGTGGGAGGGAGGAATTCATTGGAGTAGATCTAGATGGACAAAGTAAAATCCTTTTGCTGGCTCAAGGTCATGTAGTGCGGCACATAGTGAAATGGAAACCTTACTTTGGGATGGATGGTGATTAGGCCATGTGAGGTGGTGATGGGTATAGGAGCAGTGGGGGCTAACCTTTTGGGGCTCCTGTGCCCAAAATTTGTCCAGCACCCAGAAGGCAATGCACCCCCCTCCCCACGTGCGCACACCCCCTTACTTGCACTAAGCCTCACAGATGATTTTTGGGCCAGAATTGAGGCCATTTTCGGCCTCCCAAAGGCTTGAGGAAGGCTTCCGCAGGCCGAAAACTAGCCCCGTTTCGTCACTTCTGGTATTTTCAGAAAAAAACAGGAAGTGACAAAAACGAGGCTAGTTTTTCGGCCTGCAAAGCCTGCAGAAGCCTTAAGCCTTTGGAAGGCCGAAAAAGGCCTCCAACCCTGCCGAAAATCAGCTGCGAAGCACGCCCATGCACACATGGTAAGTTTGCCTGCACCACAGGTTCGCCGTCACGTGTATAGCGGATGGATTTGTAGTTTTTTTACTTAGTGCGAGGAAGCCCAAAGCTTGTGGTCGTTAAAATGGATTGTGGTCATTAAATGGAGGTCTACGCAGCTCAGGATGGCACAGATTTCGAGAGAGAGAGAGAGAGAGGCTGATCGTGGGTGTGGGGAGGGTCAGGGGCGAGGCAGGCGTACCGCAGGGCCCCCTGGACTTACTTGGGGTCGTGGGGAGGGCCGGTCTGGTTGATGAGCTTGAATTCGGCCGCGAAACCGTTGGCCCGGGCGTACTCTAGGAGTCCGCTGACAGGATTCGAATTCAGGTACTTGATCAACTCTCCGACGCCTTTGGCGCTGACCGTCTTAGACTCCTCCGGATTGGCCAGCTGGCTACCTTGTACGTCCAAAATGGGCTCGGACGGGGCTTCCACCTGAAGGGTAGGACACAGAGAAATCTGGGCTGCGAATGAAGCAGGTAGAGGAAGCTTGCGATGCCGAGGGGGGGAGGGGGAGAAGGGGGGGGGAAGGTCTTACCGGTACAGGTGTGTAAGCAGGATCGCCCATCAGCCCTTTCATGGCGACCTCGGCGGCCGTTTGCTTCGCTCCCTTCTTGCTGTTCGCGGCCACGGCGGGGAAAACGCGTTCGCCCAGCTTGACGCAGTATCGGAACCTGGATGGAGCCCCGGGGGAGGATTAAATCCAGGTTCAATTTGGAGTTTGCGACTAAAATCGGAGCAGACGCCGATCGGGTTTTTTTTAATTCGGATTCAACTAAAGACATATCAGCCTAAAGCGGCGATCGCCAACCAGTGGGGCGCAGAGAAATGTCACCCCCACCCCGAAAGCAATTAATCCAGGCTGCGTGGGAACGCAAGGCTGCACCGCCGACATGGACCGTGGGAACACAAGGCTTGCATCGCTTGCATTGCGAACAACACACAATAGGGAGGGGAAGGGGGAAAGGGTGGAGGGGAGGACTTGCCTCACTCGCCCCACATGCCTGGCCTGGCCACTGGGCTGCTACTTTCCACTTCTTTCTTCTTCTGCTTTTGGCTGCACGCGAGGAAAGCAGCCAAAGTCTTTCTTTCTCTCCCCCAAACTCTGCCAGAAATGAGTCTTTGGGACCCTGCAAGGCCTCCTGCTCCAAGAGGCTGCGCCGGCAAAGACTAATTTCTGGCGGAGTTTGGGGGAGAGAAAGAAAGACTTCTGCGGCTACTGCTGCTTTCCTTGCATGCAGCCAAAAGTCTCTCTCTCTCTTTCTCCCTGAGAACGGAGCAGGAGACGGTGGGGCTAACTTAACTGCAGGGATTCACTTAACGTCCGTGGCGAGAACGTGGTCGCACCATGGGGCAGGATTCCCTTAAACCGCTGTCCCGCTTAGCCAGGTTGTGGTCGTACGTCGAGGGCTGGGTGTAAAAGCGAACCCCGCTCTTTTCCTGAGCTTACTTTGGGTCGTGAGGCGGTCCTTCCTGAGAGAGCATCTTGAATTCGCACACGCTCCCCACCTTCTGGGCGTATTCCATCAAGGCGCTGATGGGGTTCTTCCCACAGAGGAAGTTGAGTTGTGGGACGGCGGGCGAGAGCCCCGGGTAGGCCTGCTCAGGCTGCAGAGTAAGGAGGGAGAAATAATAATAATAATAATAATAATAATAAATAATAATAATAATAAGAAGAAGAAGAAGAAGAAGAAGAAGAAGGGATGGTAGGGCTAGGGTGGGATAGGTGCCCTAGGGTTTTAACCCTAAAACATCTGGGGCATTCTTTGAAAACTGCCGGCATTGACAAACTCCCCATCGGTCAATTGCAAGAGGCAGCTTGGCTTGGGATAGCTGAAACCCTACAAAAAAAAACCCCTTTAAACAACTGCCTATCCCTGGACAAGCGTGCTAAATCCAGCCGGAAACATCTGGATGGTTGTAGGCTCAAACCATAATGGATAGCAATTGAACACCGTCGGCATTGACAAACTCCCCATCGGTCAATTGCAAAAGGCAGCTGGATCCGGAGCAGCCGACATTTCGCAGCGATATTTTAAATATTATTTGCTAAAAACATGGGCTTAGCCTCCTCCTCACCACCGCCTCCTCTTCCTCTTCCTCCTCCTTGGGGGTGTTGTCCTCATCGGGGGTCGTTTCAAGCTTCATGCTGTCTTCCCCCTCGTTCTGGGCTTCGTGGAGGAGGATTTTCATGGCGATGGCCGCCGCTTCCTGCTTGGCCAGTTTTTTGCTGCCCGCTTCGGCTGGAGGGAAGTGGCGGGTGTCAATCTTGGCTTGGAATTTAAACCTTGTTGGGAGAAGAGAGAGAGAGAGAGAGAGAAAAGAACGGGAAAGGAAGAGAATGAAAGAAAACGAGAGATAGAAAGCAAGAGAGTGAGAATGAAAAAGAATAAGAATGAAAGAAAAAATGAGGAAGAACGAGATAGAAAAAGAATGAAAGAAAATGAGAGGTAGAAATAGAGAGAGAGAGCAAGAATGAAAGGAAGAAAAAGAATGAGAGAGAAAGAGAGAAAATAAGATGCAAAGAGAATGGAAAAAAAGGAGAAAGAGAGCAAGAAGAATGAAAGAAAAAGAATGAGAGAGAATGAAAGAGGGAAAATAAAGAGACAAAGAGAAAGAAAATGATAGAAAGAAAAACACACAGAAAGAGAGCAAGAATGAAAGAGAATGAGAGAAAGAAAAAGAATGACAGAGAGAAAGAGAATGAAAGGGGGAAAATAAGAGACGAAGAATGAGAAAGAAAACGAGATAGAAAGAGAAAGACAGAGAAAGTGCAAGAATGAAAGAGCACGGGAGAGAAAAAGGAACAAGAGAATGGGGAAAAGAGAATGAAAGAGGGAGAGAGAAAATGAAAGAAAACGAGAGCAAGAGAGAGAAAATGAAAGAAGTGAGAAAAATAAGAAAATTTAAGAGGAATTCTGGTTTTAGAGACAGGCTGCCACGTTTCTCTGTCTCTCTCTTTCTGTCTCTCTTTTTTTATCTGTCTCTCTGTCTCTGTCTTTCTCTCTCTCTGTCTGTCTCTGTTTCTGTCTCTTTCTGTCTCTGTTTCTCTCTTTCTGTCTCTCTTTTTTTATCTGTCTCTCTGTCTCTGTCTCTTTCTGTCTGTTTCTCTCTTTCTGTCTGTTTCTCTCTTTCTGTCTCTTTCTCTTTTTCTCTGTCTCTCTCTCTCTCTCTCTCTGTCTCCCTCTCTCTCTCTCTGCAGGAAGGACCCCCTCCCCCTCTCGCCCCCCCCCCCCTTACCGTGGCTCGTGCGACGGCCCGCTCTGCTTCAACAAGACGAACTCGCAGTGCTGGTACATGTACTGCGTGTACTCGATCAGGCCGCTGACCGGGTTCTTCTTCTGGCAGGCCACCAGCTTCTCCAAGGGGGTGCACTGGAAGGCCGTGTCCAACTGGGTGGTGTAGCTGGGGTAGAGGGGGGACTCCATCACGTATCTCGACTCGTCCTGGGTGCTGATGGCATTCAGGTCCTCGGGGATGTCGTCGGTGGCCCAGTGGCTGCTCTCGAAAAGGTCGTAAGGGGAGAAGCGGCGGTAGCGGGAGCGCTTGCACGAGGGGCTCCACCACGGAGGGCAGGCCCCGCCACCGCCACTCGGCTCGATGGGCTCGGCGGCCTGCTGCCCGTTCTCGATTTTCTTCTCCTCGTTCTCCAGCAGCGGAGGCGGAGGGGGAGAAGGGCGAGGGGAGGGCACCTCGGTGGGGGCCTCCGGCTCGAGGCACAGGGCCGGGGGCTCGGACTCCGGCGGGACGGCCTGCCGGACCTCCTCGACTTTCACCTTGACCTGCATCCGTTTGCGCTTGTTGTCGGTGAGGGACCACCGGGGAGGGCTGGCGTTCTCCTTGTGGACCTCGCCCAGCTTCTCCAAGGCCAGGAGGGTGGCGTTGACATCCCTGGCTTTGGTCAAGCCAATGTTCTTGGCCAGGTTGAGCGCCGTGGAGTCCGTCACCCCGAAGAGGAAGCTGCAGATCTTCTCCTTGACTTCGGCCATGTCAGGCAAACCGACCGAGTCCTCCTGGTCAGAAGCGGAACTTCCTTTGTCGTCTTCTTCGGTCCCCAAGTCAAGAAGATGGCTGCAGTCTTTCTCCTGGCTGGCCGGACGTCCCTCTCGGCTGGCTTCCAAGCAGTCGCGGACGTCCTCTAGCCTCCACAATGGCGGGGTTGTCTCCGAACGACTCAGCCGCCCTTGGTGGCGGAGCTTGTAGAGGTGATGGTTGACCACTTTCGTCTGGAGGCGCAGCCGGCTGGCCAGTTGGCAAGCGGTCTGCCCAGATTTCAGATCCCTCAAGATCTCCAGGAGGTGCCTTTCAACGCCCTGCGTGTTCAGGGTCAGCCCCTGGAAGTTGGAGACGAGTTGGTCAACTCCACCCTCCGGACAAGCCGCAGAGTAACTTGGTTTCTGAGGAAAGGGTGACCAGCTATCCTGACAGGAAGGTCTTCTGGTGGGATCCCGGTAGCTGTACCATACATTCGAACGGGCCGGTGGAAAGGATGTTTGTGGCTCTTGGGATCTCTGCACCGCGGGCTTCCACAGAGGAGCTTCGGAAAGTTCTCCTCGGAGGAAGAGGATCTGCTTTTGACGAAAATCTTCGAGTCGATCGGGTTCGGGTGAGGTCTGGTCTGAAATGGTGTCCCCAGCAAGGAATCTACTCATAGCACGGTGGCGGCTGAAGGCATTCTCAGTCGGTGTCGAAGAACCTGGCCAAGAGAGAACAAGGTATGCTTCAAACCGGGTTGCAAGACAACGGCTGCACCTGTTGGGTTGGGGCCTGCCAGCCGGCGGGCCCTTCCACCCCGCCTCAACTCCACTGGCGTTGCAACCTTCCAGTCCTCAAGCACCCTTGCCAAGCTGGGTCAGAGAGAAATTCTTTTATGAACGTGGACAAGTATCAGGGATTGGTAAGCTATCTCCAAACACAACCAGTTTTTGCTCCTTAATTTAAAAAAAAAAATTAAATTAAATTAAATTTCGCTGGATTTGGGCTTCCCAAATCGTTCCTTCTTCCCTTGCAAATATTTGTGCTTAAAAAAATATTTTTTTAAAGGACCCGAGAATTGTTTTTTAGCTGGGTTTTTTAGCATCAGACGCCCCTTTTTTTGGCAATAGTTAAGGATGAACAGAGAAGGGAATGGACTGATGTTTGCTCAACCTGGAAGCAAATTTCTTCGGAAATTGAATTTATGGCTCAAACTGGCATTCCGGCGTAGGAAGTTACCATCCGCCCTTCTCCTAGAAAACTGAAATACCCTAGGAAATATTTAAAAAAGGCAAAATGTTTCCCCTAAAAAGAGTAGAAACTCAGAAGCAGAAACTCATCCCCACCTTTGTTAGTGGGTGGGTCATTAATGCCTGGGCCAGAATACTTTACATAACAAAGATCTCCAGGCAAAGCTATAGCAATTGCCAAAAGCCCACAGAACTGAACCCAGGAGGATATTTCTTCCAACACCAGCTTGCGTTGTGCCAGACCGAATCGAAGGTCGATCCGGTCTAACTCCTCTGGTCTTTGTACAGAGAATTAAAAGAACTTTTGATAGGTTTCTGGTAGACTGCCCTGCGCTTAACTAATTTAACTACTGTTTGTGGAGTGTCATTCACAAAGAATACCAAGCTGTACAAGCAGGACGGGACACCCTATTAAACCAAATAGAACACAATTGCATCATCATCATAACAACAACAACACCTAGGATGCTGTCAGCAACCTGTATCAACCATCCAAGCCAATGATATTTGTGCTACATTTTTAAATGTTCAGTTGACGAGTATCATGTTTAATGAGTAAGAAATAATAATAATAATAACAACCACCTCACCCTATGATCATAGCTATCCTTTCTTCCCCAAATCCTATAAAATTAGATAGAACTGCCAAAAGAAACCCACCAAAACTATTTTTTACGAATGCACTGTTATTTTTCTAAACGCTTATTTATTCAAGTGGACCAAATCATTGTTAACCCTCTCTCTCACTTCCCTTCGCAATTCTCAACCATACCTCTCCCTTCTTTAATCGAAACCATCAGAGGTCCCTTAAGGGTAAGGGTGTGTGCGTGTTTGTGTGTCTGTGTGTGTGCATGCATGCAAAACCCAGGCCAAGTGAACAGCGGCGTAAAAAATCGAATCGCAATGTAAAATTCCGGAAATCAAAAAAAAACAGAAGTTTACACCCAGCTGCAGAGTCGGAAAATCTTTTCAAAATCCTGGAAAAAATCTATCTATCTATCTATCTATCTATCTATCTATCTACCTACCTACCTACCTATCAATCAATCAATCAATCATATCTAACATATAACATCTTGCCTGTCAATGACGTCTTCAGCTTCAATCACAATAGTACACACAATTTTATAATAATGTAAAATTCCGGAAATAAAAAAACCCAGAAGTTTAAGCCCAGCGGCAGAGTCGGAAAATCTTTTCAAAATTCAGGAAAAAAATCTATCTATCTATCTATCTATCTATCTATCTATCTATCTATCTATCTATCATATCTAACATATAACATCTTGCCCGTCAATGACGTCTTCAGCTTCAATCACAATAGTACACACAATTTTATAATAATGTAAAATTCCGGAAATCAAAAAAAAACCAGAAGTTTACGCCCAGCCGCAGAGTCGGAAAATCTTTTCAAACTTCAGGAAAAAATCTATCATCTATCTATCTATCTATCTATCTATCTATCTATCTATCTATCTATCTATCATCATATCTAACATATAACATCTTGCCCGTCAATCACTTCTTCAGCTTCAATCACAATAGTACACACAATTTTATAATAATGTAAAATTCCGGAAATCAAAAAAAAAACAAAACAGAATTTTAAGCCCAGCCGCAGAGTCGGAAAATCTTTTCAAAATCCCAGAAAAAAAAAAACTACCTACCTACCTACCTCTATCATATCTAACATATAACATCTTGCCTGTTAAGGACTCCTTCAGGCTCAATCACAATCATACACGGGCAAACAACTCCGCTCCAAACTAGACTGCGGAAAATACGACTTCATCAATACAGTGGTGACACCTGGAACTCACTACCAGACTCCGTTATTACAGCCTCCAACCTTCCCAGCTTCCACCTCAAACTGCCTACCATGGACCTCCCCCCATTTCTAAGAAGTCCTTAAAGGGGGCATGCATAAGCACACCTGGCTTACTGTCCCCATTGATGTATATTTATTTCCTTTATTCATGTTTATGTTCGTCTCTAAACTTGTTATCTTGTGCATGTTTGACAAACAAACAAATATCCTTCTATATTTATATCTATAGCTATATATAAACAGACCCCCTTGCGTGGGAGATATCAAACGTTAGACACCGGGATTAAATTCTGGCAAACCCACAGAAAGAAATTTCTTGTGCTTCGATTGTTACAACCCACAACAGAGGCACAACGGATGCATTTAGTTCTCACTTTCTAAACCAAAACCTATTTCCTTATCTTTCCAACTCAAGCCAAGCGCCTTCCCACCTAACTTCTCTCCTTTAGGCTCAAAAGTAGCCCTTAAAAATCTTTCTTTCGCCCAGGGACAAATTCGACTTGGCTTATCCCGGTCGTAATGCAGCTCCCGCTCAAATGCTAAGGAGGTTTACTCCTGGGTAAATGGACAGGGGTGATGGTGGGGTGCCACTGGTCCTCTCTGGAGGTAACCTGAGTTCCCACCCCCTGGAAAATCTCCAAAGGGAAGTGAGCCACGCCAAGTTGTGACTATGTACCACGGCTACGGCAGAGGGGATTTTTTCCAGCTAGCCGGCTCTGTCCGCACCTCAACAAGAGGGCGAGAAAGCTGGGGGAGAGAGAGGAAAAAGGGGTACAGTTACTGGCCCCGATACAAGCTGAATAAAAGCTTACCCTTTTTCCTTTTCCTGTGACGAGGTTTGTGCATGGCATCGATCTGGCCAGAGACTGGGGAAAAAAATCCCCGTCTTCAGAGCATGGAAGGAGTGAGGAGTGCATGTGTGTGTGTGTGCATCAACACGGACACACATTCAGACTGTGCCAGGCATAAGGGGAGGAGGTTAGCTTTGCCAAGGGAGAATAGAAGGGTCAAAGGATCTGCCTCCCCTATTTAACATAGCTCAGAAGAAGAAAAAAAAAGAAAGCCAAAAAGAAAAAGCCAAGTTAAGTTTCACTTTCTATTCTCCTTCTCTTGGCTCTTTTCTCTCCTACAAGGGTGGAGTTTGTGGCCAAAAAAACACAGCCCATCCTCCTTTGAAAATGGAAATTTCAGTTCCCTTTCATCATCTCCTGTGGGCAGGGCTAGAGGGCCAGGTGTCTTCTGGGCCCACTGTCTCTCCACCCCCCAAAAAAGAAAAGTTTTTTTTTTAAAAAAAAACAAATTTTATTAACTTTACAGAACATACAGACAATCGAGGCATAATAACATAAAGGACCTTTCTGGAAAAACCAGAAAGTAGGACATACCAAATGTAATATGTCTATTTACGTTATCTGCTCAGCTTCATATCTTATCCCAATTTCTCCTTTTCATTCTATTGTCCAGATTATATTTCTTACGAATCAAAATTTTTGCCTTTCCAAAAAACAATACACGAACATTTATTCCTTTAAAGTCTGCCAACCTGGCTGGGATTGGCCCAGAGAGCCACCTTAAGAGAAAAGAAATGGGAAAAGATTGGAAGGAAGGATCTCGCTGGGTTTGCAAAATAAAAAAATAAAATAAAAAAAACATAGGGACCACACCAAAACGGGAAGGCAGTCCTCGGTTTGCGACCCATTTCAGGGCTGTTCGAACTGCGACTCATTGAACGGCTGCTGTTTGGGGGGCACTGAAAAAAATGACACTAGTTACAGGATTTGTGGAGGTGCGAGTGCAAGGAAAGACCCAGACGCTCAAATTACGTACGTAACACACTCCTTTCAGCCTGGGAAAATGATCTTTGTACACTGAGCAGATGGTCTTCAACTTATGACCGCAACTGAGCCCAAGATTTCTGTTGCTAAGCGAGACAGCTAAGGAATCTTCCCTGTTTTTACGACATTTCCTGTTCAGTGAATGTCAGTGGCCGTAACATGGGGCAGCGTTCACTTAACAAACTTTTGCCCTAACAACAGATATTTGGGAGCTTAATTTTGGTCTTAAGCCAAGGTTTACCTGTGTTTAGGATTAAAAAAAAAAAATTTAAATGGCACTCTTGGATATAGGATTTAAAAACTTAAAAAGTATTATTCTTGGGTTGAGGATAAAAAAAATACAATTCTTGGATTTAGGATTAAGAAGAAAATTAAATTACGTTCTTGGATTTAGGATTTTTTTTTTTTAATTTTTTATTTTATTTTATAATAATTCCATTTCATTTCAATTGTGTGTCGACTGGGTACATACATCTTGCGCTCACAATTATAACTATTCTTATAACCATTATTTAATCTATTTTTTTTAACAATCTTATCTTATTACTTTATATATTCATCTAGTCTGTTTTAATTTGTTATATTTTCCAACCATTGATAAAATAAACCCCATACCATATATAATATTCAGTTTCTTCTTTTTCTTTGATTACCAATGTTAATTTAGGATTAAAAAGAAGAAAAAAAAAATTGAATCCTGTTCTGGGATTCGGCTGTTCTGAAACTCAAAAAACCCCTACCCGACATTCAGGGTCCTTATCTAACCCCCATCCTCACAATAAATACCCTCTCGACACACAGACCGTGA